TTTTTTTTTCCCCTATCCCTCTCTTCTTCTCCCTACGTTATTTCTGGTTCTATTTTTTTTTTCAAATCCCTTTTTCTTCTTTCTTCTTCCATATGAATTTATCTTGTAGATCTTGTACATCTGGGTTCAATTCTTGTATATTTGGAATCAGATTCCAAACCGTCAGTCTCTCCCAAACCTTCACAAAGTTGAAGGAGCAAAGGCCAGGTAAGCAATTTTAGGTCTTTGCTTTAGGAAATTTGGACTTACAATGTAGAAAGGTTTAAAATTTGCATCTAATTTTGGTTTTTAAGGAATCAGCCATATATGTCTTTATACATGTACTCAAGCAAGCAATTTAGTGCCTGCAAGGTTTTGGCCAGATCCACATGCCTATTCTTGGTACCCATCTATGTTACTTTTATTTTCCCTGTCTTTGTAGACGATGTTACTTTTATTTTCCCTGTCCTTAACATGAATTTATTGCTGCAAACTGGGATTACTATTTAGTTTAGCTTTGCTTATGAATGCTAAATTTGCTGATTGGTTTAGTTACTTGGTTTTCCAGACTTTGTTGCAATGCACTGATGCCTTGTATTGCTTTATGTTAAGAGGGATGGCATGATTCTTTACATGCGTTTGATGGTTCTGATTGCCATGGTTTATTATTATTTGTTAGGTAGGATCCAAGGTTCGGTAAAAACAAAAACAAAAATCACCATTAATGCGGTAAAAACAAAAACAAAAATCACCAATAATGCGGATAATGCGGGGCAATATTATATTACAAAAACCCTAAACCATAATGCGGATAATGCGGGGCAAAAATCACCAATAATGCGGTAAAAACAAAAACAAAAATCACCAACATAAAACGTATATAAAACCCTCCCAATTAAAAAAGATCATCAAAACCATGGCTGGTTGTGGTTCTCCCTGTGGAGCCTGCAAGTTCTTGAGAAGAAAATGTGTGACGGGGTGTATTTTTGCGCCTCATTTCTGCTATGAAGAGGGAGATGTTGATTTTTCTGCCATCCACAAGGTTTTTGGCGCAAGCAATGTGTCGAGGCTTTTAGTTCACCTTCCGTTGAGCGATCGATGCAAGGCCGCAATGTCGATATCATATGAAGCTCAAGCCAGGATTCAAGATCCCATATATGGATGTGTTTCACATATTTTTGCTCTCCAACAGCAGGTTAATCATTTAGTACCCTTTGTATGTTCAGATTGGGTTTCTGTTCAGATTGTATGTTGAAGTAACTGATGAGTATATGCTTTTGGTTTGAACTTTTCAGGTGGTCAACTTACAAGCACAGTTAGCTTTCCTCAAGGATCAAGCAGCTCAAAGCTTTGTCAATGGCTCAAACCCTAATCAAGCAGCTCAAAGTTGGAATTATGAGAATGGAATTATGAATTCAAATATCCCAGAAGAAAATTTAGTGAATATCCCAGAAGAAAATGTCTCATATGGCAGCTTCGAAGAGGGCACTTCTCATTCCATGTCTTCTTTTGGCATGCAAACAAATTACAACATGCAATGGGGTTTTCAGGATGCTGATGAGCTTCAATCAGTGGTTTCCAGCTACATTCACCATCGATGAGTATATTGGGATGAATATAACTTTGTAATATGTATATGGAACTCCTTATTTATCTTTTGAATGAAAGCTTTGTATTCTGGGATGCCTTATGAATGTGAAGTAAGGAAATATTTATGTTTATCATAGAGCCTCTATTTATAGATAAATTATACTTTTATCAGGTAATTTTGATAATTATTTTAAAAAAA